TTGTGAATGAATGAATGAGTTAGCCCACAGGAACCACTCTTTATACTCTAAACACTTCCTGTATTAGCAGTTTGGATCCTTACCAGGACTCTGTGAAGTGAGCAGAGCGAATAGCATCCGTAGCCTCATGGAACAGATGGAGACCCAGAGACGTGGGAGGATAAGGAACTTACCTGGGGCAACACGGAATACAAGGCAGAGCCACGACGGGGACCCGGGTCTGGCTGACCCGTTGTCCCTCCCACTACTTCTCTAACTGCTGCCAGCAACATCTCTTGAGAACACAAAAGCACTCTGGAAACTGTCACGCACCAAGCGACTATGAGGAAAGACAGTTCCTTGACGTTCTTTAAGAATCTCTCCTTAGACCCTAAGGAAAAATCCCGAATTTGCAAACGTGATCATAGTATCTAATTTTCACTCTGCAGTAAGGCATACCTGCGTATTTTCAGTGATCCACGTCCAAAATTTAATGATTGTATAAATACTGTTATTATGACTTTATTAAGTCAGTTTTCACGCTGGCTAGAACACTCAAGCACTTGCTAATCGCCTTTTCTTATTTTTTTTTTTTTTTTTTTTTTTTTTTTTTTAAGATTTTATTTTTTCCTTTTTCTCCCCAAAGCCCCCCCGGTACATAGTTGTGTATTCTTCGTTGTGGGTTCTTCTAGTTGTGGCATGTGGGACGCTGCCTCAGCGTGGTCTGACGAGCAGTGCCATGTCCGCGCCCAGGATTCGAACTAACGAAACACTGGGCCGCCTGCAGCGGAGCGCACGAACTTAACCACTCGGCCACGGGGCCAGCCCCTCCTTTTCTTATTTTTATATAGAGTGTGTGGGGAATCATTCATGTTGAGGATCTGAACAACCGAATTGGATATTTTTCTCTTTAATGTGGCCTAAAGTTTTGTTTTCTAAGTAAGGTCATTCATTTTCTTGGATTCTTTACTTTTTCTTCTCCTCCATCCCCAGCACTCTTTTTTTTTTTTCTGAAGAGGATTAGCCCTGAGCTAATATCTATTGCCAGTCTTCCTCTTTTTTTTTTTGGCTTGAGGAAGATTAGCCCTGAGCTAACATCTGTGCCAATCTTCCTCCTCTCTATATGTGAGTGGCTGCCACAGCATGGCTGACAAGTGGTGTAGCTCTGTGCTCAGGATCCAAACCTGTGAACCTGGGCCACCAAAGTGGAGTGCACCGAACTTAACCACTATGCCACGGGGCTGGCCCCCCCCAACACTCTTTTCTAGATCACTTTCTGTAGGAGAAAAACTGCACACTCAAGTACGAGTAGAAAATAACAAAGCCACTTCTAAATATGGACTACAGGCAGTCAACTAGGCTCACTCACTAGCTAAATGACTCGCTCTCGCACACCAACTTTGGAACCTACGAAATGAAAATATATGCTTCACAGAATTATACATCATAGGCCTTAGAGTCCAGATCTAGGCTGTTAATTCTTCAAATGCCAAAAGTCTACTCATGGTTGTGATGAGGTGCTATTAGGAGAGTGATACAAAATAAATAGAAGTCATGGTGAGTGACATCAAGATCAAATGCTATCACATCCAATACTAGCACTGCCAAATCTCTCCAATCTTTGGCTGATGGCCAACTTATTTCACATAAGATTTGATTACCGAAACATTTCCGCAGAAACACATTGGATTCCCTTGGCATTCTTCCCACGACTCCGTATGACCTGTACTGGAGTTGAGGAGATGAGAAGTGAAATGACAGACCCACCCTAAGCAACCTTTCAACTAATTGAGTGGGCTAGTAAAGCTTTAGGAGGGAGGCCATGTAAATCAGAATGGCTGTCTGAGGGCAGAAGTGTAGGGAAATTGGACGCACAGACCACAGGCTTCCCTAGAGCCCAGAGGAAGATGAAGCCAAGCTCAAGGCAAAATAGGTGGGAGAAATAGTAACCCCCTATCTTTGAATTCCAACCCAGGCACTGCACAGCTACAACTGCTTCAAGTGTGCCCCTGCTGGGATGAATAATAGCTCAATTGCCCGGGGCAGACCACTCAAGAGGGGAGGGATAGAAAGAGAGAAGGCCCTTTCACCCCCAAGGAGTCACTGGCTCTCTTTCTTTCCCCACTTGTCAAGTTTCAGGAAATGGCTGCCCTAATATCTCCCCTCTTAGCCCTGTAGGTGCAACCGTTGGATGCACCAGCCTGGACCAGGTTAATTACATTCCCCATCCCTGATCCAAAAAAGCCTACAACTCGCATCCCGCTCTCTGGCTGTGCTCACACAGAGAACACACAATTTGGGCCAAGGTCATGAGTGATTTAGGGTTGCTCTGAGGCTGCAATCTCAGCCCAGCCATGGGGCTGGGTCCTGTTGCTGACTTAGCGGTGGGTCCATAGCTTGTCTGCTGAAGGTGATTTTTTCTCTCACAGGACTTTCAGTGACCACACTTTCATGCCTACCGCCTGTGCATAACTGTCAGGTTTGCTCCCTCAATGACTGTTACATAACAATCCTGTTTGTGCATAGAATATGTTCTTTTCTGATAGGGCGTTTTAAGTGTAAAGTTATGGTAGCACTTGCTTCGACTATTAACAGAGACCTAGGATATTTTTATCACACTATTGTTTGTCTTGGTGCTGGGCTGCTGATCATAGTCCCGAGCCCAGCAGAGTGAACGCTCTACCTGCATTTGTGCATGTGTGCTTGTATGCATGTGTGTGTGTGGGGATTGGGAGAGAGAATTTTTACGAATCCAGAGTTCACCTTGTGTGTAAGGGTACCAAGAAATGGCACCTACAATGATTATTTTTAGAGGGTTAGGCACACGGGTGTGAGCATATTATGACTCCTCTCCAACAGATTCTCTAGGGTTGACAATAATTACTGAGTGGGGCGAGGTTCCCCTCCGCCCATAAAAAGCATCTACTAGTCCCTTAGCTTTGGGAATCGCTAGGATCTCATGATCCTAGATGCAGCACAGGAGACCTCAGAGGAACCACCAGAGCCAACAGTACAAATGTTCTGCTGGGAAAGAGCCCCACAGAGACTCAGCTCTCTGAATGTGCCAGCAACAGAAATGCCTGTGAAGAGCACAAAGGGTCATAATGATAATATTTACTTTGAAGCTGCTCAGGATTCCTGGGCTCTGGGCTCTGTTGAACTTGGAAAAAAATATACAAGAGACGCTGGATTGAGGCTCACTAAGGGAGAAGGGGAAGGGCAGCTAGCATTCGATCAAGGTCAGGGCTCAGTTGTCTCGTCCCCCCATCTCCGGGAAAGGCAGCTGTCCACCTGTCTAAGACACGCTGCCAGCAGTGGTGTGCTGGTCAGTGTCTCACAATCCTCTCTCAGGAGAAAACTCGCCATGCAGCAAACTAGCATTTGCCGATCTCCGTGGTGTCGTTACTTCCACCATAGCTGGTTTTAAGCTGCCAGCATGACGTCACCGCACATGGGCTTGAGAAGAGCTGCAGGAAGCAGGGCGAGCTGGCTCCAGCACACCACTGTTGGCCAGGCCTCTACAACATCAGGAAGGAGAAGAGGGCAAGGTCACAGAGCCAGACAGGACCCGTCCCTGTCCATAGGCTCCCTTGGCCAACTGGAGTTCCTGGAGAGTTTCCGTTTGGACACCTCCCTGTTGAACTGAGAGATGTTTCTCTTGGTTTATTCCAACATTTGGAGCCGCAAGAGACTTTAGCTCCATGCGATTGTGAGCTCCATGTGGCTATCTTGTTCATTGCTGTATCCCGGCCCCTAAAAGCCTGCCTGGCTCCTATTAGAGGCTTTGTAAATAGTTGTTGAATGACCGAATGAACCAACAGATCACACTTAATGGGATGCACCAGAGCATATTGGTGACAAGCATGGGCTCTAGCATCAGACTGCCTGGATTCAAATGCTGGCTCTGCCACTCACTACTTTGTGACCCTGGACCAGATACTTTGTCCACACTTTGTAGATGATGAAGGTAAGGTGCAGAGAGGCTGAGGAGCTGGGGCACATTCACACAGCTAGGAAGTGCTTTGGTTAACCCATCTGTAAATTAAGGACAAATAGTAGTTTCTCCCTCACAGGCTTATTGTGGGGAATAAATAAGGAAATATATGTGAAGTATTTACAGTGATGCCTGGCACATCGTAAGTGCTCCAGGAGCGATAGTTATTCTTATTACTCTAACCTGCTCACTTTGTGGAAAAGGAGACTGCGGCTCAGAGAGGGCAAAGAGCATGGCTCAGGTCACACAGTCATTTAGTGATAACCTGACTGAGACTTTGCATTTCATCACTTGCAAGAACTTAATTGCACAAGGTGCCAGAGGATGCTAATGTTAACAGCAAATGAGGAAAAGGACTAAGCTTTTCTTTCTTACAGTTGTGTTTATCTCAGAGTGGAGAGGTCAACACTGGACTATCCCAGGGAGTGTAGTTTGAAAAAGCATAATTCATGTTACATGTCTTAAAATGAAATTATTTTTTTAAAACTCTGATGTTTCCAGGGGCCAGCCCCGTGGCGGAGTGGTTAAGTTCATGCGCCCCGCTTCGGCCACCCAGGGTTTCGCTGGTTCGGATCCTGGGCCTGGACGTGGCACCGCTCGTCAGGCCATGCTGAGGTGGCGTCCCACATGCCACAACTAGAAGGGCCCGCAACTAAAAATAGACAACTGTGTACTGGGGGGCTTTGGGGAGAAAAAGGAAAAATAAAATCTTAAAAAAAAAAAAAAAAACCTCTGGTGTTTCCAGAATACTATCTACATTAAGCAAAGTGAGATGAAACCTTCTCGGCTGGTGGAGATGACTTTCAAAGGGTTAAGAAACCCCGCTGTCCACTATGAGGAGTGAAGAGAAGAGGGAAATTGACCCCTCGGGACTCCTCAGCTTTCCTAATTGCCAAGTCCCCACCTTCCTGCAGGGGTGTGGAATCTGCTGACCTGATTCGAGTTAGGCCACATGTGCTGCCCCCTCCCTCACCCCACCACCAACTCAATACTGGGCCCAAGGCAGCGTGAGAGGAGACAGCATCCTAGGTTCAGGCTGGGTCTGTGCCAGCCGTTGAGAGAGGTCACCCTCCGTCCCCCAGGCTCCACATTGATGGAAAACTGGAACGGGAGCCCTCGATAGCCACGGGAGGAGCCTGCTGGATTTTCTGCCCTCTTCTCGTGCTGCATTTATCACGATTCCCTAGACACCCACGGGTTCTTTCCTTCCAGACATTCATCATCGGGCATCTAATTTCCACAGCCCGTTTGTGCTGGCAGGCATCCGCGTGGTCATTTTTTCTGCTGCCTGGCCGTGCCCTGCCCTGATGCCTGGCCTCCATTTCTCCAGCTGTGCAAACAGGGCGGGGCCCCTCTCTCATAGTACGGCTCCTGAGGCCTCTGTGTGACCCTCGTGTTGGGCCCTCAGAGGAGCACAGAAAGATGCCCCATCCCCTGCTCTCTGAGAATTCTTAGGCTCAGGGAGGCAAGGAGCTAGCTCTGGGTGCCGCAGAGACAGCCCACCACTTTCTAGGAGCCACGGGGCATTGGGCAAGGAGCTCACAGAACAGAAGAGGGGGTGGTGGTGGGAATGTACTCGGAAAACTCCTTAGGCACATACAAAGGCAGGCCAAAATGTAGCCCGAACCTCAGCACCCAGAGGGAAGGTGAGTTAGGGTGAGGGGGCCACCCTTGTGCTCCCGCCTCAGCGGTGCTGGCCCCGTTTGCAGTCGAGCTGCCCTCCCACCGTGGGCGAGGGGAGGGTGATACATTCCCTCGCTTGGCCAAGTCTGCCACCTCCCACGGCAAAGGCCCTACCTCACCAAATTTTTCTTGGGACCCAAATACTTCCTGTTCCTTTAGGGAGGAAAATGGGGGCCTCTTCTGGGAGAATCTTTGCTGCTAATAGGTATAGCAGACCCTGGCTGGAAACATGATCTGTGTGAGGAGCCACTTCTCTGCGCCCTGGCAATCAACCATGTTAATCAGACCTGGCTATGAAATTGGGCAGGGGGTGGGGGGTGGGGGCGGGGAGTAGCCAGGCTGAGTTGAATGTTTTCCTTGTTCTCTCTCTCTCAGCAATCTCTCCATGCGCAGAAAGCTCTCATCATAGACAGATATTTTAAAAATCACCTTCTGCATCCATAGCTCATTATTCGGGATAAAAAAGGCATGGAAGATGCAAAGCCAGACACATCCAGAGGCTGGAGGGGAGACAGACTGTAGTAATGTGTTCTGCAGCTCTAACCTTAGCCCTGGATGCCTTGCCCGATGTGTGCTGTCGGTCACAAAGCGGGGTTTGCCAGGCCAGGATTTGCCCAGTGCCAACCCACTGCTGACTGGGAAGACATGTCAATGCTCACATCTCAAGGGTTGGGAGAGGGGAAGAGGGATGATGATAGCAGAACAGCAGGGTAGCCTCGGTCTTCAAAGGGCAGTCCAGGGTACTTAGCTTCTGAATCTTCTATTCCTGGTATTTCTGAATCACTTGGGGTGGGGGTGGGGACGAAATACAGTCTGGATCCATGGAGATTATAAGCGTCTGTAGTGCTCAGCCCAGTTTGTGGCCTCATATCAGATTCTTGCTTGACTCCCATGCCACCAATTTCCCTCCCAAGTCTCATTCCCTGAAGACTCCTTGGCTCCTGGCAGTGGCTTGACATCCCTTGGGTCTCCCAGGAATAATCTCAAAAATCTTTACCAGTCCCTCACAGCCCTTCCTCCACTGTCTCCCCGGGGTGAAGGTCAATTTTCAAAATTCCAGTGGTTTAATTTATTAGTATCCTGTAGCCTGTTAGCTAAACAAACAAATGACCGGTTTGTTTGAAATTTAAGGGGAAGAGTAATTGGTGGCCTGCTAAATTCCCTCCTCATTAGCTAAAAATGGTCGCCCCACTGGGATGCGCATCCTGGCGTCTGCAGAGCTCTGTCTGGGCCTGGCAGGGAGTGAGGTGGGGATCAGAGGAGAGGATATTTATTTGACAGGGGGCCTGCTGTCCCTTTCTTTTAAAATTTAAAATAGCCCATTAATTTTTATTACAAAAGCTATGCATGTTCCTCGCAGAAAACTTGGAAAATACAGAAAAGCATAAAGAAATGAAAACCACACATAACCCCACCGCCCAGAGACAACCAGAGATGCTGTGTTTCCTACCAGTCTTCTTCTAGGCATAACGCTGCCTCTCCGTCAGTGCCTGTAACGTAGTTTCTTTTCCTGACTATAAAAGCAATGCATACTCACTTTTCAAGTAACACAAAAAATATGAAGAATAAAAGGAAAATTGCCCCAATTCTACTATTCTGAGATGACTACTGCTAATACACGGGTGCAGTTCCTTTCGGTCTTTCTCACTTGACTGAGATGAAACAGTCCGGAGAGTTCTATACGCTCCTCACTTAGTGTCTTATCGTGTACGTTTTCCCATGTCAATAAATATGCACCTGAACTATGATGTGTGACAGCTGCATGGTGATTGTACGAATGGACCATAATTTATCTTTTTGCTTTTCAGGAGAGACAGGTTTGGGCAAGTCTACCCTCATGGACACCCTGTTCAACACCAAGTTTGAAGGGGAGCCGGCCACTCACACACAGCCGGGTGTCCAGCTCCGGTCCAATACCTATGACCTCCAAGAGAGCAACGTGGGGCTAAAGCTCACAATTGTTAGCACGGTGGGCTTTGGGGACCAGATCAACAAGGAGGACAGGTAAGGAAGGCAGCAGGGTAGAAAGGCTGGTGGGAGGCCACAGGGAGGGGCCCACCACGAGGGTCCTGCCTGGACCTCTTCTCAGAATGGTGTGGGCAGGCAGCAGATACCTCACAAGCCCCGCCTCCACCCAGGGCCCCTATCTACAGCAACTGTCCTACTCCACATGCTTTGCCAAAAGAAGGCTGTCTTCCTGATATACAAGGGTGAGGTCTCCTTTCCACTGAGCTCCTGCCTTGTGCCAGGTACGCCTGTGCTCTGACAATCTACAAAGGAATGACTTTATCTCTGCCCTTGTGAAGACCGGTTTTAAGCAAATCAGTTCCATCAAGTGTGATATGCTCTGTAAAGGACAGGGTACAAAGAGGTAAAGGACAAGTTACAATGAGAATACGAAGGAGAGAACAGTCAGTTCCATGTGGGGAGGTCAGGGAGGCCTTCACAGAAGAGGTGTCCCCTGACCTGGCCCCTGCAGGATGAACTATTTTGCCAGACAGACAAGGGAAGGAAGGGAAGGGCGTTCCAGGCAGGAGAACCGCTGTGCAAAGGCAAAGAGATGTGGATGATTATGGTATGTTCTGGGGAACTGCAGCGTGCTCTCTCTGGCTAGTTCAGAGGCAGAGTTACTGTGAAGCTAACGAAGCTTAAGCTTCAGGGCTCTCACTTGCACAGGCCCCTTCCAAGGCCCTGTAACTAATTTTTAGTCATCATATTGAATTACCTATCTTGGAGGGCCTTCAAGTCACACACGCCTAAGGCCCCACAATACCTGGGTGTGCCCCTAGGCTAGTGCTTGGCATGAGTTAGGGGAAAAGTAGGGGAGATGAAGCTGAAGAGGTAAGCAGGAGCCAGATCGTGGAGGGATCGATAGAATGCGCAGATGTGGAGCCATTGAAAGGTTTTAAGAAGTAGACTGATGTCCGATTGGCCTTTGACGAAGATACTTTGAGATAGTATGGAGGTAGACTGGAGAATGGGAAGACCAATTAGGAGACTATTGGACCAGTTAGATCAAGGCCAGAGGTAAATCAGGTGTGGAGCTAGGGAAGAGGAGATAGATTTGATAAACATCGAGTAGGTAGAATCAACAGGACTTGGTAGAGACTTGGTGTGGGGATGTGAAGACAAAAGAATAATCTAGAATGAGGCCCAGATTTCTGGCTTTGGAGAGTGGACAGATGGTGGTGGCATTCAGTAAGAGAGGTAATGTAATAGAACCAACTTTTAGAGGAATCGCCTCTGTTTTGGACATGTTGAGTTTGAGCTGTCTGTGAACCATTGAGAGACATGATGACCCTCAGTGGTAGGCAGCTGAATATACAGGGTTAGAGGTCAGGAGAGGTCTGGGCTGGAAATATAGATTTGGGTTATCAAGGTATAGGCGATATGTTCCAACCGTGGACATATGTAAGATTACCCGGGGATGGGAGTCGAGCGAGATGAACAAGGGGCTAAAGACAAAAACCTTGGGATGTGAAGTCGGCAGATGGAGGAAAGACATCCTGAAAAGAGACTGAGCAGGACTAAGCAGAGAGGTAGGAGGAGAGACCATGGGGGTTAGAGAATGTTGTGTGAGTGGAGAGCAGGGTGAGGCTCAGAGATGAGGATGTGATGGGGGCTGGGGCCAGGGAGGGGGTGGGGTCAGGCAGCATCTTCATTTAACTAGAAGTCACATGTTTGTCACACATGCCTGCTTGTCTCAGAAAAGGCCATTCATCATTTTGAGCGGTGTCTGCTCATCCTTTGAGGACTCTCCTACTTCTTAAATCAACTTCCAAATTCTCCTATTTCTCCCTTAAAGTTACTACAGCCATTCTCATTTCCCTATAATGAATAAATATATTGAACCTCTTAATAATGGAACTGGATTCTGCTTTCCATTTGGAATTCTAGATGAAGGACAACTCTGCTTTTTATTCGCTTGCTTATTGTGCTAATCTTGTTTGGTTGAGAATAATTAGACCCTGGGACAGGGGATGTTGGTCACAATATGAGTGCTTCATATCAGCTGCAGATTGCCTGAGATCTCCTCAATTAAATTCCTCCCGAGTCTCAGTAGCGTACATTCAACATATCTACCATTGGAAAATGCCTTGGTAATGGTGGTTTGGGAGGACTGAACTGATATGGCCCCTTAGAGGCTAATCTCCTTCCACTACATTTTTAATGTCTTTGTTGTTTTTCCTGATTATAAATATGATACATACTCATACAAAATCAAATAATACCAACTCAAATAAGCAGAAGTGAAAAGCCTCCCAGAAATTGGGTTGGAGAGCAGGGGTGGAGTAAGCTCTAGGGATCTGTAATAAAAAGCAGTGTTTTCTCCATACTGACAGGGCCATTTGGGCCTAGATATGTAGTGCAGCTGCCTTGAAATACCATCAGAATGCCCTGCTTTACCCAGGGTGCGTGGGTAAACGGGGAAGAGCAATGACTAAGGCTGTACCCTGGGAAAATCACCATTTAAAAGATGCTGGAGCAAGAAGAACCCAAGAAGGAGACTGAGAAGGACAGGCTAGAAAGGGCCGTGCTTGGGAACGTAGGCTTTGGCCTCAGACAGACCTGGGTTCAAATCCCATCTTGTCTACTTATTAGCCCAGGGATCTTGGACAAGTGTTTTGTGGTGGTCTTAGCCTATCGACAACCAATGTTGTGGCTGAACCAGCCCTTGTGGTTCTTATTGTAATTGCAAGATGCCCTCAGCAATAACCATCAGGAAACTCTGGGGAACAAAAGGTTTATTATTCACAGGTCCTGGAAAGCACATGGCCCGCCTGGGGCCACACAGCAAGGTCATGAGTAGAGAAAAAGAGAGAGCACATGGGCCTGGGGTTCTGCTTTTATTGGGGTTGAGTGTGGTGGCCTCGGGTTTCGCAGGCTCACTCTTTATTGATGAATTTAAAACATAAGAGCTGGAATTCAGAGTGTGGAAGGGAAAAAATCAGGGCCCAAATGGTCAGCTATGGAGATCAATCAAGATTTCTGAAACAAAGGAGCCTGAGGGGAGAATGTGGCCTGGCTCTTTGTCTTTGTGTGGCTGGTAATGGGTTTATTTGAGTTAGCCAGCTTTGAAGTGGGTGCCTCCATAACCAAAGCTTAAATCCGGCACTTGCATTATGAAAAAGAAAAACCAAGTGCCAGGGCTTACACTACAACAAGATACTTGAATTCTCTATGCTTCAGTTTTCTTACCTATAAAGTGGGGATGATGATAATACTAATATCTACCTTGGAGGATTGTGGTGGGGCATACTTGACATATGTGCGCTATGAAATGCTTCAACAGTGCCTGGCACAGAGTAACTAAGGAACAGAAGATATTGTTATGATCATGACTTTTATTGTTAGAAGAAATTCAAGGGAGTGTTGTCTCATGTAGCATATGGGAGGAAATGATAAATGGTGTCCAGGAAGATAAGAACTGAAAAATATCCATTGGGCTTGGCAACATGAAAGTCATTAATAATGCACTTAGGAATAATAATTCCAGGGAAATTGTGGGTGGAAGCTGGACTGCCATGAGGGAATCGGAGGTAAGTAAAGGCATCAGAATAGCAAAAAGAGCAATAGAACAGAAAAGTGAGCTCAAGATAAAATTCATATTTATATGGGAATTTAGCATTTGTAAGTCGGTGAGGGAAAGAATGAACTATTCAAGAAAATGTGCTGGGAAAATAGGCCATCCATTAGGAAAAAATAAAATGAGACCCTCCCACACGAACATCATTCACAAAAATAGATTCCAGTTGGATTAAAAACAAATTCTAAAAATATAAAGAGAAAATATATGAGAATATTTTTATAACTTGGGGGGCAGAGAAGCCTTTTGTAGTCATGACACAAAATCCAAAAGTCATAGAAGAAAACACAGATTTAAATTCATTAAAATAAAAAAAAGCTTTGTATATTGAAAGATACCATAAACAAAAGTAAAAACAAACTACAGATGGGGGGAAAATATTTGTAACCTATATAACAGACAAAGGATTTCTCTAAAATGTAAAAAGAGCTCCTACAATTGAATGAGAAATAGACAGGTAATTGACAGAAGGGGAAATAGGAATGGCCAAGCAATATATGAAATGATGCGCATTCAACTTCACCAGTGATTAGGGAAATGCAAAATGAAACAATGAAATATATTTTCATCCATCAGATTTGTAAAAATAAAAGATGAAAATATAACATCCACTAAGACCAGGTAATTTCATTCATGTCGCTGGGAGTGTAAATTGCTAAGAGATTTTTTAGAGGGCGAATTTGGTGGTATCTATTAAAATTGAAAATGTGGGTACCTTAGGATCCGGTGGTTCCACTTTTAGGTATACCGCCTAGAGAAACAATTGCATATGTTCATGAAAAGCATACGGAAGGGATGTTCATTGCAACTTTGGTTATGGAATAAAAAAAATTTTTAAACAGCCTAAATTTCTACCAACAGAGCAACTAAATGAGCTGCAGTACAGCCATACAATGGAATTGCATTTGGCAGTGTAAGAGAACGAGGCAGAGCTGTATGGGTTCACAAGGACATGTTGTTAAGTGAGAAAAAGAAGCTGTGGAGTGATCCACAGATCATGATGCCATCTCTGTAAATCTGCCCCTTCCCAATAAAACAATAAACATTTCTCCCCCTCTCTCGTTATTTGTATAAATGCACAGAAAAGGTCTGCAGCGAAAATCAGCAAACTGAAAATTCTAGTTCTTTCTGAGGAGGGGAGAATAAGTACATCTATTACTGGCATAATTAAAACTAAATTTTAAAAGAATGATGTTTTTAAAAAGGAAGCAGATAAAGTGGGTGTAGACTACTGACTTAAGAAGCTTTTCTGAGCTGGGAAAAAGAGAGAAAGCAGTGTCCAGAGGGAGGCAAGGAGGTCATGGGTGACGTTTTTGAAGAAGGGGGAGATGATGGGGGCTTGAACAGGAATAGAAGCTTCGAGGATAGAGAGGAGGGGGCAGATGTCCGAGAAACAAAATCCACAAGTGATAGTAAC